CTACACTTGTCACTTGTAGAAACAATAACTGCGTATGAGAGGAAATCAAATATGAATGACTTGAGATAAAATTTCATAGATTTATTGGTCTAAGTACCTCTCGAAGGTGAGTCTCAGTCATGTTAAAATGTAGATTACCAACATATAGTTTCCTGTCTACTGCTCCATATGGACCTGCCCCAGAGGCCCCAGACGTATTTGATTGAACAAGATTCTTTTCAGCCTCTGAAGGTTTAACCATAACAGGTTGCCCAAAAAGTAGTTGACCAGAGAGAGCAATAGCCATGGGCACAGACATCGCATCATAAAATTCAACATACCTGCAGTTTAATCAATACCTCAAAGTAAAATTATTAGAATATGAGACAGCAAAAATAAGAAACAAAATTTACAAAGCATAAGATAAATAAAACCAAATATCAGATGACCAGCTTAAACTAGATTGGGGGGGGGGGGTCATATGGTGACTATTTGTCACCATTCCTAATTTTGTCAATTAGCATATACAAATTAATCCCCAAAAAAATCATTATTGATAACCGATGGACAGTCCTCACAATAAAAATTCATTGCACAGTAAGTACTATGGGAAAGTCAAGATGCCATAGAAGACCTTCTCTAATTTTCTTTTTTTCCTTTCCCCCCCCCAACCAAAAAAAAGAAAAAAAACAACCGCAAGCCAGAGACTTTCTGCATACTTACCAAGGAAAAAAAAACAATGAGAGTAGATGATACACAACAACGTGTTAATTTTAATAAAGTGTAACAAATCACTGTTTGAAAGTTAACTTGAACCAAGAAATTACATAGTAGAAAGAAATGAATCTAAAACCAAGACCAGAGATAACAGAGTCATAGGAGTTAGGACTGTTTCTTATCTGCACAAAAACATAGAGGAGCAGAATTAGGAGTACGATGGGGAAAACAACAAAGGAAACCTCAGGTTTATGTTATCTACCTTGAACAAGCAGCATGAATTGATTAAACATGACTGCATAGTATTCCCACCATCCCTCATCATTATCGCATTGCTAGTTCATTTAAAAATACAGTTAAATTTGATACTTCAAAACTACTATATTAATAACCATATTAACGAGATCACAAGCATACAATATAAAACTTGTTCATCCCAAGACCACATACCCAACTCCTTTTGACCGTCTAGAATTCCTGTCCATGATCAGCCGGACATCTCTCACCTGAAATAGAAAAATCAATGAGAGCAGGTTATTTAGGAAGCTGGCAAAAAGAAAAGCAATAAAGGTTTCCCTTCTTTACACTCGAAGCAAAGCATCATTCAGCCATCAATAAGATCACGACAAAACTCTTATACATTTTCACTCACCCCATATAAACAGAATGTTGAGATAGAAGAAATTGATTATAGTTTCGAAACTGAAGGCAGAGGAACAGTAACTGCAATATGAAGCAAATCTATCTCAATATCTATGCCATCATAACATTTGTAGCAATAACATTGCAACAAAAATTCCTCTATCTAATACTTGCTACAGAGGTGAACAAGTACAAGGGACATGGCTCATGGAAATAATATAGATGCACGTATGACTGCTAAGACCTTTAATTGTTAATTTTTTGCTAAATAAAAAATAAACACTTATGTGCTTCAGTTGAGTAACACATTTCAAATACCTTTCCCGCTTTTGAAAAGAATTCATAAACATCTCTCTCTGTGGCCTTCAAAGGCATCTGCACAAAGAATATAGAGGATAATAAAAATGATACAAGCAAAATATAAAGAGAACATGAAAGGTAAGAAAAAACAAGGAAAACTATCAACCTGATATGCAAATACAGTTCTTTGATCCCTCTCTGGATCTGCTTCTGGCTCCACCATGTCTTTCTTTTCCTTCATTCTCCTGCAATTTGCACACACAAACATCAGGGAAAAATTGAAGGAAAACACAGTAATTTAAATTAAAATAATGTTAAAGAAATTTAGAACGACTTATATTTCTTCTTTCCACTCTATATTACTAAGGAATAGTGATTATGTGAAGGCACAATCTTTTTTGAATGAATGTGAACTTCCTGATAAGACCTTCATCGTCATACATCAGTAATTTAGGTGATAGGATGCACTAAGAAAAGAGAATGAATAATAAAAATAAAAAAGAACTTGGAGAACAAGTCTGCACTTTTATGATTTCATTTGATGTCTTCATTCCTCTAAGTATATGAAAAATAAATACATTGATTAAATGATGGGCTTCTATGATTTCCACACCATGGCGGTGGTTATCATTGGCTGTTGTCCTACCCTTTCTGTTGCAAAATACCAACTCAGTAAATGTCTTGAAAACTTTTGCACTTGTCAATGAAACGCAAGTGCTTTTTCTTTTCAAACAAATCAACAAATTAAAATAAATAAATAACCGACTGTCATTACCAGGCTTGAAAGAGGTCCTAATTTCCACGGAATATCTGGTTTAGTAATGATGCCAAACCAAAGGCCTGGGAATTAGCGCTAATGTTTACACACTTCACTACCTAGAGCATAAATGTATTCTAATCTAAGTTTCTAACTTGATAAAATGCCACATTGCTTAATGCAACAATTTTATTTTAATTTATATGAGAAACCAATTTCATAAACAGATTCAAATTTAAAGACAAGCTTAGTAAGCAGTAACACAAAAATATATCTACCATAAACTTTGTCCTATGCCTTGAGCACTTCTTCTCAACTGATGATGTGGGCTGGCGTCCATAGCCATGAAGATCATCTCATGGACTTCAAGATGTTTGGGAGTTCAAAGCTAAAGATCACCCCAATCAAGTATGGCTTATTCCAGATTAATTCATTTATGGTTGTGTGCTTGGTTGAAGCATTAGTGTGTGATTAGTTTGGTGCGTTTGAAGAGCTTTTGATCAGAGAATTGATAGCTTGTTTCACAAAGGAGTCTCTATTAAGTTTTGGCAGTTTCCCAGTCGATATCCTATTAGCCTGTAGCCTGGAGCAGTGTTTGGTGATTGGTGGAAGTGGTTTTTGTTGTTTTGGCTAGCTGCCTTCTTAACTTGTTCTTCTCGAAGTTGCTCAGTCTTATACTCAGTACTCAAATATTTGGTAGATCTTTCGGCTCTTGTAATTTTTTATAGATATTCTCTCCATTCTATTTGCTTGGATGATTGCTTTCGCCTCATATGGGAAGTTTCTATCCTTTGGATATTTTCCACGAAAAAAATTGTTTCACGTTCAAAAACACCGCCCCGTAATTGTTAAGCATAAAAACGAGAAACAAGCGGAAATAAACGTATACGAGCAACACCCAACAGTCAATTGTAAGCTTTCAAGATCACAGTTCAACAAAGAGCGCACAAATGAACAATTACCTGTTTTCTCTGACATCAACTTCACGTTCTTTCTCCCGAACAGACCGACTCCTGCTTCGCCTCGATCTCTCCTCTTCTCTCTCCCGCTCCCTCTTCTCCCTTTCTCTCCTTTCTCTTTCTTTCTCCTTCTCCCTCTCCCTCTCCTTGTCCCTTCTATCCTTGTCTCTCTCTCTGTCCTTCTCCTTATGCCTCTCTCTATCTCTCTCCTTATCCCTTCTATCCTTGTCTCTCTCCCTCTCCTTCTCCTTCTCCTTATGTCTCTCTCTATCCCTGTCTCTATCCCTTTCCTTCTCACTGCTACCCCTATCTCTCGTACGGTTCCTTTCTCTATCCCTCTCTTTAACCCCATCTGTTTCTTCCTCTCTGTCTCTTCGATGCCGATCCCTCGCTCGGCCCGAGTGATCCCTATCCTCCTTCCCATTTTCATGCTCGCTTTTCGACCTCTTGACCTTCAGCTCCTCGTCCACACGACCACCAGAGCCAGCTTCCTCGTCTACCTCTCTCTTTCTGCTGCTTTTCTCGTTCCTCTCACTCTCGCTCTTCTTTGCCTTCTTCGTCTCCTTATCGTCCTGATCCTCCACGGCTTTCTCCAAGTAATCATACTCGTCGAAGTCCATCGAATCTACAGAATTTCAGCGGTTCGATAGTAGACCCGCAAAATGAAAGCTGGAGATCTCGCCGGAGTTCGTATTCGAACAGAATCAGCGAATCTAGGCGAGGCGAACTTTCTATAGATTGAAAATTCTAGGGTTTTTTAAAGGGGTTTCGGGAGAGGAACCATTGGTTTGGCTTGGAGTTTTCAATAATAATCCGCGGGGAAAGACTTGGAGTTGCTTTTATATGGATGAAAACAGATCAGATTCGAATTGAAAATTAGTATTTCACCTTCGTTGTTTCCAAATAATAATAATACATGCAAATAAGTGAACTTATAAGATACCAATTAATACATCAATCTATTAATCTAAAATAAAACATAAATAATTCAATTAGTTAAAACATTATATAATCAATTAAAATATAGAAAGATTAAATTTCTCACGGAACTAAACTAAAAATAATTAATCTTAAAATTTTAACAATTTTGTCTATATTTGCAAAATTTATATACAAAGAAAACCCATAATACAAATCTATGAATATATATTAAGAATTTTTTTTAATATAAAGTGGTTTCATTTTTTTTCATCAAAACAAATATGAAATGACCAAAATGGTCATTTTTTAGAAGTAAAGGGATTGAATTGACGTATGAAAATAGATAAATCGGGTATTAAACATACTAAAAATAACCAAAATAAATGAAAATCGGGTAACTAAAATGGCTTATTCAGAATAAATGACAAAAAAAAATCTATCTATCATTTCAAGAATTTATTTATGAAGTTCGCCAAATTATCATGCTTATTTCTTTTTAACTTAATTTGAAAAAAGATATTTTCATACTTTAATTCATAAAAAGTAAAATATTTTACCACTTCAAATCAACATCATACAACAAAAAAAACTCGTCTAAAACTACTTATTAGGCAATAGGATTTTCGTAAAAATTAAGATCATTCCTCATTTCTTCATAATTTCGGTCAAAGATCAGGAACAGGGTCACTAATATTCTTCCATGGGTCAGATTCGAATCAATCGAGAAACAGAAACATTACTATGATAATACTATTACCAGAGAGATATCCGTGTCTTCTATCAAAAGATTTCTATCATTACTATGATAATACTACAAACACATCAACAAATGTAGTAACAACAAGAACCATCATTTATGATTCGAACTCGAACTTGAATACAAAGATTCAAGAGGGCAATATGTTTCGCCACACAAACAAGCCTAACTCTATTAAGGTCATCCCATGACCTGCCATATAAGGTTACTACCACAACTTCCACACTATTTATAGCACAAAAAACTGCTCGTATAATTACCAGGGATATCTTCTCCTCTGCACGTCACTACTTTAGTCTGTTCAAAGTTATTCTCTCAGCCTGTCTATCAACTCTCTCGACAGGAGTAATAATTTGCGGCATCGTCATACCACCAGAAACAATGATCTCTGCACAATTGGCAGTAATATGAGCCAAATACATGGGTGGAATGAAGTTTTGATTCAGTTAAAGGGAAGTGATGTAAGCAAAATCCGAGGTATCTATCGCATTAGAGGGATGTTGGCGAACCATTCTGACTTTTATGAAAATATAGCACAACTTATCTGAAGGATAAGTAAACAAGAAGTTCAATGCATCAAACTAAGCTACTTTGAGGAACAAAAACTTACAGCATTACTTCATACACAGAAAGAGAGCTGAACGTATCGTTATGAAAACAGACGATCGAACCTTTTCTAGTGCAGTGTTTTACTTAAAGAGAGATGACGTACCTATTCCTTCCCGAATAGATAGGTTTGGCCTTATGATGTCCTTTGAATTAACAAGAAATATATCCCCAATGTAGAGGTGATTTGTTGGCACGAAAACACTACATAGCTCTTCATCTTCACTCTCTCTCTGCAATGAAAATCAATGATTATAGGATCACCAGAAACAGGCAAACATGCATAAAGCAAATTTCCACAAGTCATGGAAGAAAGCAATCAATCAATCAATGTTCAGTACGAATAAAGTATAACCCATAAAGATAAAACTTTCCCACGCATTTCCTTTGGTAGCATTCTCCTTGAAACAGACTTGGATTTGCTCAATTGCTAGAGAGATGGACTGAAAAAAGTATCATGCCAGGTTAAACTCTTCAAAGAGAGTTGTGGAGATTTTGAGCAAAGAAGCAATTCAAAAAGGATGGTCCTGAGCCTCTGTTTCGGTATTGCATAACCAGATATGGTCGGGGAGGGGTTTAGGCTGGTGTGTCCATTTTGGATCAGAACAGCAGTGTTTGAACCCTCCTAGTACCAAATTCCAGCAGAAGAATGATGTTTCCTTTAGTGTTTCAACAGCCCAAATATGCCTCAAAGTCCCTCAATCCATAAACTCCTTTTATTAGTGAGGAATGAGAATTGAAAACAAGCCACAATAATAATTGCCGGAACTGTCCAATACCTAAATTTAAACAATTTGGCCTGTTGTTCAAGCTGTTGAGACTCAACATGACCAGAAGATCGGTCAAATCATTCATCAAGAAGAGGCTGCATAAAGTTAAGATTCTGATAAACTTTGACTTATTTATCAACAATTTATGGCAATAGCCAAGGGAGATTCGAGAACTCCCTTCCCTCCAAGAACTTTCAAGTATGAGTCCTAAACCAAAACATAAAAAACACTCAGACAATATTCTAACTAACCGAAGCATATGAGCCCCACAAAATCACTGCCAGCATAAAAAGACTACAACACACTACAGTAGACCTCAGTGACTCGGTGTCTACTGGATTCAAATGCCAACTCCTCATCCCTCGCTTCAGCAACATTTCCTCGTTTTGGTAGTAATTTGGTCTTGTTAAAATAAGTATTTCCGGGTCTCTCTCCCATCCAACCATAATTCCCAAACCTAGTAAAATAGTATTCCTCCCGTTGCAACCTATATAGAAAGAAGGTTGGTACGAGACTTTCTGCCCAAATTCACATATCTCCCAGGAATTTATTCTCATTCTCCCATGATTTCACCTGTGAACCAACCTAAGTCGTCCCTGTACAAGTTACTGAAATGACAGAGTTCTGAAGAGAATCATTTTCAAACGGAAATCTTAAATCTACTGAGTGGCCGTAGCAATTGACTTCTCTGATTCTAGACTAAAATGAGTCAAGTCCAACATTCCAGAGATGAATTTTAGCATTCTATTACATGGTTAGTTTTTACAGAAGAAATGCAGTGTGTCAAAGGTCATGTACCTAGCAAATATAGTCGTCTATAGTGCATAAAGGATTATTACCTGGAGGGTAACAGTTGAAGTAATAAAGCCAAATGCATATTCACCAACACGCGGATGACGAATAATTGCAACTTCTTTGAAAGCCGTAGTATTTTGATCTGCATGGGAAGGAGACCCATTATATTAACTCGTATTTGAATTCGAGACGACCATACATAAGAAATTACTCAAGAGACCACAAATTGCCATTCAACATTAAATAAAAACCAAAATATTAGTGTGCATACAAAATTACCAGGAGAAATTGCTGCACTAATTTGTTTGGAGGCAGAATATAAATGCCTGACAAAGGGCATTCGCTGGATGAACCATTCTCCAAGCCAGAAGAGTGTAGCACCCAACCATGATGAGACAAATATACCAATGAAGAATACAAAGAGCAAAGATGTTATGAACCCAAGACCTGCATCAGAAACCTGCCTTATGAGACGTTTCCAGAAAATGAAGAACCTAAATGCGAGGCAACAATATCATGAATAGCGGACTCCACAAGGAAATTTACATTTATCTTAAATGTCTAAAATTTCCCGTTAATTGATTCAAGGTGCCATCCGTCTGCTAGTAGACATTTTCATAGAATATTTCATATTATCATAAGAAATCATTCGGTGGTACATATAGTATATTTTATATAATCATATGATCAAATGAGATCCCACTTGTTAATAAAATCATTTAGACCAAAAGAAAGTAGAATATTCAAGTTAAGGAAGAAATGGAACATGAGTAAAATCCAGAATATTTTCCTTTCATTATATGTTATAGATGGACTGGAAATATGAGACCACACTTTACTAATACCTCCTTTCTATAAATTTACCCTCCACTAAGAAAAAAAAAAAAAAGAGTTGCATTATATTTCAACTAAACAAAGAAATTCATGAGAAGGCAGACTTTACCTAGACACAGTCAAGCTAGGAATAATTTTTTGGAAGCTAGCAAATACAAGAAATACCCATATCCCCAGTTGACATGGTGAGTACCATATCCTCATGTTTTCCTTTTTCAGTTCCTATACATATGTGGACATAAGACCTGTTGCTCCGAGTCGTAAGCAAAGCAGGAAGTGTAAAGGAGAAAAATAGAAAATAGGGAAATGGCTCTGCAATTCTCAAAGTGTATTTCTAGAATTTTCTTTTATTATTATTAATTCCCCTTTTTGACACCAAAGTTTGTGGGAGAGTTTTACCAAAGTGGTGCAGTAGCTGCGGCGGCAGCCAAAGAAGATGAAATAACCTATAAATCCATTTTTGTTTGGATGAAAACAGCCTATAACTCCATTGATGGCAGAGAGTAACAATCAAATTAGAAGAAATATTCTAAAACTCTGTTGAGAGATAGGAAATGAATGTTCAAGTATTCTTATGTTTCAAGCACAACTGTCAAGGAACCTTCCACATTCGCAATTGATCAGCATCTTCTAAACCATGATCTGAAATTAGTCCTTCATTGCTCTTCAAAATGCAACAATATTCTCGCATGATTTGCACTAAGGCCAACAGGTAGTTTTCAAGTATTAATGTCCAAATATGAATTTTATACATAAATGCATCAAAGAATTCTAATTCTAACGTACTTAGAAGTTAAGCCTTACCAAATATGTCAACTCCAAGCCGCTCATATATTGGACTGAAGAAACCATCAACAAATTGAATGAACCACCATGTAACAAAAAAGGTAACAGCAACAGGGAAAAGAACCACACTGCAAGATGAACAATTGAATAAAATGTCAGAAATTATGAGACAACAAGAGCCACAAAACAAAAAAAATGGAAGACAATGCCAAGCCAAATTACCATCCAGTCATAAACTTCTTTGACACCCAACTTTGGAGAACATAACAGCAAGCCTGGACAGGAAAGATATTATTAAAGTCAGACTTGAATGAAAGAGGACAAGAAAATATGATATTCACACGATGACAAAAATAATAACTATAATAACAAAGAGAAGAAGAAGAAGAAAGGAAGAAAAGAGAGAACAAAATTCGAACACAGAATATGTTAAACATTCAATAAATTGCCAAAAGAAAATGAAGGAATAGAATGAATTTCACTATGCAAGACATCATACTTTCAACATCTTAACCGAACAAGTACATCTCTAAACCTTATACCATGACCTCAGGACTTCAAGCACGAGATATCCATTGAAAGTTGAGGCTATCATCATAAAATCATTTGATGTGTCTTTTCCAAGTTTCCCATTTATGAGCATTATATGAAACTGGTTAAAGATGCAGAATAGCTGGTAATATCCTAGATGTGGGAGTGACGGAACAATTGACCTAAAAGAAGGTGTTTTGGATGGGATGGTACTTCAAATATCTAAAGCTTGAGCTAAATATGAACAAACTTGGTGAAAACTTCTCATAACCATGCCATTAGAAGTGAAACTAGAAAATATTTGTCTCTCATTCTAAAGGAGATTAATACTCCAGACTGTAGAATGGACAGTCTTCGACGCTTTTTTAGGCCTTTGACAAAAGTTCTCGGCAATAAACTAGCCCATTTCTTCTCCGGTTTAGATATATCATCCAGTTTGTAGACACAGCATACTAGCACACCAGTTTTCATGTTTTGACCCGTGAAAAATGCTGTCAGAATCCAAAACCAATCAAACTCACCCACACCACGAATGTCATTGCCGGCCATTGTTCTACTAATTATAGCCTGGTGCTTTGTCTTTTTATGCTGTATTGTACAATTATAGTCTAATTTATAACGCAACCAAAATATATTTAATAATAAGTTTGCCATTTAGCACAATCTTGAAGATCGAAAAGGATATAACCCAACATCATTTTAGTGAAAGACAACAATCAACCTAGTTGACAGTCGTGCATGCTTCTGCATTTTCTTTGACGAATACATGCCATGCATTATATTAACTTAAGAATTGACTCGATTTTCCCGATTATTGGATAGATAAGCAACGATCCGTAAAACCCGACTCGTGTCATTGTAATCAAATTCGATCAAGATATTTCTAGATAGTAGTCTTGAGTCGCTCGGCACAAGCTCGGAATGTTCAAATTTCAATCCGAAATGGTTCACCACCGGATCGAACCTCAATATTCTAACATCCCTTTGACCATAGTATTGCAAAATTAGAAGAAAATTGTCAATGAAGAAAGGACCGCGTCCAAGTACCGGGATCCAATTAATCCGACCGAATGGATCGGAGCACATTTCGGAGCAGCCTATGTGACACTCAATCAGAATAAAACAAAATTAGACGGCAGAGATTGAAGAGTATGAAGGAGATCCAGACCTTACGAGTGGACGAGTTGGGAGAACTCGGAGGAGATTTGACAGGATCCTCGGGATCCTGTCCGCCATTATCGACTTGACTGAGAGGAACCGAGGTCGATTCCTTTTCTTCCGCCATAACCTTCTGAAAATCAGTTAAAATCTACTCGTATCTCCGAAGAATCAGAACCCAAAAATCACATACAACCCAGTACCACCAACGTAAGAAAAAAGATGCAGCAAAATTCCAATCGGACAGGTTCGTCGCCGCCTAATAAAGATGGTCCTCGCAGTTGCACTACGAAAAGGACACACTCCAAAATGGGGTTAGTTGAAACCGCTAGCAAAAATCCAGACGCGGAACCACGTGATTATAGAGGAATTTTGGAGAAGGTGGAGTGAAGAGTGGGCAACAGAGAGAGCACCCGTCGCCCGAGCTTATCCTCGTAATGATCGATTGCTGTTAATGGCGTCTCGGTTACTCCAAAGCTCTTCCTGCCCTCACGGTGCAGTGAGATATGGTCAGAGAAGACGCGGTGAAGATCAGCGCTGGATAATTCTATCTTCTTCAGCTCACAAACAAATCTCCTAATTCTAATTCAGTATAAATTTGTCGCTTAATTGTTCTTTTGGGATCGATGAATGGTTTTTTAGGCATTTAGGTTGGGATAAAATTAAATGCAAACTTATTTACAGTTAACCATTTAACCTAATGTTTCTAGCTGATATTGAAGGACCGATTTTCACGCTAACCTTCCATAAATATTTCACATTTTACCAATTCGTAATTTCACAAAAGTTACCGTGTTTACTTTTTACCTTTTGTATACAACTTTTTTTTTTTTAATAAAAACTCTCTTAATTTTCCTTCAAGTTTTCATCTAAAATTTTTCTAAAATTTTAAAAGATTTCTATTATTTTGTTGAGTACAAGTAATTTTTTTAAATAAATAAAATACTTTCGAAATATTTATTTATACATTTGATTTGACATAAAAATAACTTTCCTAATAATTAAATAAAAATATTGGCGTTCTTGTAAAATTCAATTATTATGAAGTTGGTGTACTAAATTTAAAATAATATGAATATTTGAGTTGGTAGAACTCAAGTTGTTAGCGGCTTGAGACTTGAGCAATCACCCCTCGTATGTTGGGAAGGTCTCTAGTTTCTCTGTTGGAGGGAGCTCTTGGCAGTGAGTAGCATGTGGATGTCTTAGTGTAGCGAGTCGCGTGTGGAGGCATTAATCAGAGAATTATCGATTGAAACTGGTGCACAACAACTTGAACAGTCACCCCTCGTATATTGGGAAGGTTTCTAGTTTCTTTGCTCGGAGGGAGCTCTTGGTAGTGAATCGCATGTGGATGTCTTAGTATAGCGAGTCGCGTGTGAAGGCTTTAATCAGAGGATTATCAATTGAAACTGGTGCATGATTTCATATTTATACTGAGTAGAGCTAGACAGCTGAATTTGGACCCTTTAAGACTTTCTCCACCTCTTGTATTTTTATTGATAATACATGTATTACTATGCTCGATTTGTTTTTTCTTTCTTCATCCACTAATTTATAATTACTTGTCAATATAAATAATAATAATAAAAAAAAAATATACACTACTTGAACTAAAAAAAAGTCAATGACTACGTTGTCAACCTGAATATATTGAATCTAGTTCGACAATAATTTGTTTTCTCAAATTTATATTTATTTTTTAATTATATATATATCTAACGGAATAGTTGGTCAAATTCCCCACACTAATATTTTATTTTTTTAGGTATTTCAATTATTAATTTTAACTTTCAAAAATATTGATAAAAGAGTGAACTAAATAGTTAATTTTTATAATTCAAATTTTCATCTCAATTTGATTGACTAAAATGTTTAAATATTGATATTGATGTTATATTAAAAAAAATAATTTAACGTATTTATGTAAATAAAAATATAAAAGTGATTTTAGATTAATATTTAAATTGTTTTATTATTTTTTTTTCTTTCCAATCTGATATTTTCTTAAAAACTTTTTTTACACGTATTAATTAATGCGGCTAAATCAATTTAGAACAGTAAATCAACAATAAATGTATTATTATTATTATTATTTAAAAAAACCAGTGCCCAGAATAAATGTGGTGGGGTCGTCCGTGTGGGAGATTAAAATAAAATAAACAACAGTTGCGAGGTCAATTTGGAAGGATGGAGAAAAAGAGGGGTGAATAAGAAAGCGAAAAAAGGGGAAGTGGTGGCCCACCACCCCGCCCCGCCAAACTCCAAAATGCGCGCTAATTAAAACTTTGGCGCTGGCTTCTCTCGCACGCACTTCGCCCACAAACAAAGCTCTTCCCTAATAAATTTAATTTTTTTCCCACAAGGCTTCCACGGCAAGTTTTACCATTTTGAATTCAATTTCAAATTTGAATTTTTAGTCTGGACTCGATTCTCATCGTCTTCATGGAAGTTATTTGATCTTGAGTTCAGGAGGTAACCCTGTTTTTCTCTTAGTCCTGTCTCTGCACAAGACCTGTTCGACGAAATTCCTTGGTTAAATTCTTCTTGTAAAGATGTATGTGGTAAAGAGAGATGGGCGTCAGGAAGCGGTTCATTTCGACAAGATCACTGCTCGTTTGAAAAAGCTTAGTTATGGTCTTAGCATCGACCATTGTGACCCAGTTCTGGTGGCCCAAAAAGTTTGTGCCGGCGTTTACAAAGGCGTTACCACTAGCCAGCTCGATGAATTGGCTGCCGAAACCGCTGCTGCTATGACTGCCAATCATCCTGACTATGCATCCGTAAGTATCACTCTTATCTCTACTATTTGCGCTACCTTTGGCCTTCTTATTTTGTGTTCTTTTCGATCTTCGTTTTTCTAATTAACCTTTTGGTTTATTCCGTTCGCTTCTCTTCTCATATGGGGCTCCTTTGTTCGTCTCGATTCACTTATCACATAACTGGCATTTTTGTGGGATAGTAGCTTCTTGATGATTGTAAGTAACTGCTAACTTTTTGCTTGTTTGTTTAACCCAGTTGGCGGCAAGAATTGCTGTTTCAAATTTGCACAAGAACACGAAAAAGTTATTCTCGGAGACGTAAGTTTGGCATATGCTCCTATCAGTCTTGATGATGCATTTCAGTATGAAACTAAACTTGTTTATTACACTATATTGACATGAAACTAATTCTTGACCTGTAATGATGTTTAGTATCAGAGACATGTACAACCATGTCAGTGAAAGATCAGGACAAAAAGCTTCTCTCATAGCTGATGATGTTTATGAAGTAATCATGAAGGTGATCTTTTATTCTTTCTCGATTTCTTGAATATTATGTGTCTTTGATGATTAATAGTTTTGTAATGAAATTCGTGTGTGGATTCATTGATTGGTCATGATCTTAATTTTAAGGGTTGACTTTTGTATAAAAGAAAATGCTACACGGTGGCTTCTTTAGTAGCGGGAAGGCCACCTGTTCTAGTTTGTATTTTATTGATTTTGTTTGTTGCCGGTGAATTTTCGTTGATCAATTTTTTTTTTAGTTGCAAGCGCATAAGTTTTGCTATTTCTGCCAGGTGAGTGCTTAATCTGCCTCGCACTGCTTATTTAATGGATTTCTTTTTCTTTTGTTTCTCTATTCCAGAATGCGGCTCGTTTGGATAGTGAGATCATATATGACCGTGACTTTGACTATGATTTCTTTGGTTTCAAAACTTTGGAAAGGTCATACCTCCTGAAGGTTCAGGGGAAGGTTGTGGAGAGGCCCCAACATATGCTAATGAGGGTTGCTGTTGGTATTCACAAGGATGATATTGATTCTGCTATTAGAACTTACCACAATATGTCTCAACGTTGGTTTACTCATGCTTCTCCCACCCTTTTTAACTCTGGAACACCAACGCCTCAAGTATGTTTTGAGTTCATTGATAGCTTTATTTCTAATGAATGCTGATCATAAGTTTTATTTTTCTTTAATTAGAAAATTTGGCCTTTTGTGCACGGTTGTCATGGGTTTGCTTGTTGCATAACAGCTTAGCAGCTGTTTCCTCGTATGCATGAGGGATGATAGTATAGAAGGTATATACGATACCTTAAAAGAGTGTGCTATTATTAGCAAATCAGCTGGTGGTATTGGTGTTTCCATTCACAATATTCGGGCCATGGGTAGTTATATTCGTGGAACAAATGGGACATCTAATGGGATCGTGCCTATGCTGCGGGTTTTCAACGATACTGCTCGATATGTTGATCAAGGAGGAGGCAAGAGGAAGGGTAGTATGCTAATTGGATCAAATTAAATTTTCTATGATCAATATTTGGATTCTCACATTATAACTGCCATTTGCAGGTGCTTTTGCTGCATACTTAGAGCCATGGCATGCTGATATATATGAGTTTTTGAATCTCAGAAAAAACCATGGAAAAGTAATTTCTATTTGCTGCTTTATTTATTGGAAATTATGCTACATTGTATTCAGTTGATTCTAAAATGAGTACTCAAATATTAGCTATACAGTTTTAATATGTAAGTTCTGAAGATTTTAATATTTTGCAACTGTTTTTTCATGTAGGAGGAGCATCGTGCTCGAGATATTTTTTATGCACTTTGGGTGCCTGATCTGTTCATGGAAAGAGTTCAAAGTAATGGAGAATGGTCATTATTTTGTCCGAATGAGGCCCCTGGTTTGTCTGATTGTTGGGGTGAGGAATTTGAGAAGCTATACATCGGATATGAGCAGCAGGTAAATAGAATATAATTGTCGTGGAGTTCATTTTGTGTATATATAGCCAACTTTGGTCCGCTATATACATTGGATATGCTCTTGTATGTGATTTTGTGTTTACTTCTAGGGAAAGGCCAAGAAGATTGTCAAGGCACAGAATCTTTGGTTTGAAATCTTAAAATCTCAGATTGAAACTGGAACCCCTTACATGCTATTTAAGGTATTAAACCACCATGCCTTGCTAATAGCTTTCAAACGACAATTTCAAACTTTTATTTTTTTTGGCAATCTCTAGGATACTTGTAACAGGAAAAGCAACCAGCAGAATCTTGGGACCATTAAATCCTCTAACTTATGTACAGAGATCATCGAATATTCTAGCCCAACAGAGACAGCTGTGTGTAATCTTTCTTCAATTGCTCTACCTCGTTTTGTCAGAGAGAAGGTGGGCTATACCAAACACCTGTTGTTTTCTGCATGATAACTTTGCCTTCTGTTCTAGGGATTTATTACCTTAATTTGATTTGTACTATTATTAACTGCAGGGTGTTTCGATCGAGTCTCACCCATCTAAGCTTGTTGGTAGCAGAGATTCCAAAAATCGTTACTTTGATTTTGACAAGTTAGCGGAGGTATTATTTCTTAGTCATGACCGTAGTTTGTTTTACGTATTGATACAAAGATGTGTACTTTTTGCTTAATTACCTTACTTGGTTAATTCTTTGTCTAATTAGATAACTGCTCTGGTGACAACAAACCTAAACAAGATAATCGATGTCAATTACTATCCTGTTGAGACTGCCAGAAGGTCAAATCTTAGACACAGACCCATCGGTATTGGGGTTCAAGGTCTTGCGGATACTTTCATTTTACTGGGATTGCCATTTGATTCACCCGAGGTAATTTAGGCTTTTGGCTTTACTTCTGCTCTTAGCCTCCTACATTCAAACTAAAGTTGTTCATAGTGTACCAAATGCCAGGCCCAACAATTGAACAAAGATATATTTGAGGCCATATACTACCATGCTCTTAAAGCTTCTTGTGAGATTGCTGCAATGGAGGGTCCCTATGTAACGTATGCTGGCAGTCCTATTAGTCAGGTATTAATGTGAAAGGGTTTTTTCCCTTAGAAGAATAAAAATGGAAAAAAAAAAAAAAAGAAGGTATTAGTCAGGTATTTAGTTATGTCATTTCCACCAACTTCTGGTTCTGTTTCTATTCTACAGCATCTACTTTTCCTGCGCTATGCTGATTTAGTTATTTGTTTTAAGGGAATTCTTCAACCTGACATGTGGGGGGTAACTCCTTCGAAGCGATGGGATTGGGATGCTCTCAGAGGTCAGATAGCCAAAAATGGTGTTAGAAATTCACTTCTTGTGGCTCCAATGCCGACTGCTTCTACCAGCCAGATTCTTGGAAACAACGAGTGCTTTGAGCCATACACTTCTAACATCTACAGTCGCAGAGTCCTAAGGTTTGCTTTTCAAATTGAGCTTCCAGAGCCTTTTATTATACTATATGTTTTCTATAATTGTATTATAAAATCTCTTTCCATCCTCCAGTGGCGAATTTGTTGTTGTGAACAAGCATCTCCTGCAGGACTTAACAGAGATGGGTGTATGGTCTCCTGCACTGAAGAATAAGATTATATATGAGAATGGCTCTGTTCAGAACATTCCTGAAATCCCTGTTGATCTAAGAGCCATTTACAAGTACGATGAGCTTTCCTTGCATTTCCCCTGTTCTTTCTCTTGATGTTGATTTGTCCTTCTGACTTGTTCTTAATATATTGAACTCAGAACTGTTTGGGAGATCAAGCAAAAGACATTAGTAGACATGGCTGTCGATCGAGGATGTTACATCGACCAGAGTCAGAGCCTCAATATTCACATGGACCAACCAAATTTTGGAAAACTCACTTCCTTGCACTTCTATGCGTGGTCAAAGGTATATCATTGTGATAGCACTCTGATTAAAGTTTTAGAAATCCATCTTTAAGGGAGAGTTTTCCTTACTTTCATATGGCTTCTGTTAGTATTCATTTGAATTTCAGAAAACTCTTTTTTCACAGTAAATGACATTGATTAATTAAGGGGTTGATCATGGATTTATAAGGAATACATTTATGAGACCTTTTGGGAAAAACAAAAAGCAAAGTTGCGAGAACTTAGATTCAAAGTAGACAATATCATACCATTATAGAGAGTCATGATTTCTAACCACCGTAAATCATCAAACTGAAAATTCTCTCAATTTTGATTTCATCTCTTGTTTTTGTTTTTGCTATATGAAGGGTTTAAAAACAGGAATGTACTATCTACGATCCCGGGCTGCAGCCGATGCCATCAAATTTACAGTTGATACATCGATGCTTAAGGTAGTAGTGTACACCGAAAACTGTTTGTTTCCCACACTGCCTAAGCTACAAGTTCATTAGATAACCAAATTCCATTGATGGTTTCTGCAGGAAAAAACTAATGACGAAGATGATAGTACAAAAATGGCAGAGATGGTATGTTCTCTAACAAACCGTGAAGAGTGCTCGGCCTGTGGAAGTTAGACATGACTTTGTTCTAAGCTCTTGCTCCAAAGGGATGACCGAACTTCTTGACACTTTTATCAAATATCTTGCTTGCTGTAATATAATGTAAAATTTCTGTACAGTTGTTTTGATTAATTATTAGGTAATTTACTGGGCTTCTTGATATGCTAAGCCATCCTCGTAGTTTGTTTTTAATCCATGTGTTTGACGGCGTAAATGAATATCGTAAACAACTTTGCTTGTTACTATTAATATTCAAGCTTATTGTTTTTTTTTTTTTTTCTTGCGCTTTCCCCTTTGAAGGTTCTTTTAAGTTTTTAGTAAAAAGTTACTATCACAGATTTATAAAAAATGTTATGCTCTTCCCTCCAATTGATGTGAGATCTTACAGTCCACTTCTCTTCAAAACCTAGCGCGTGTTTGTTGGCACTTGTTTCTCTCTCTAATCGAGGTGAGATCTTACAAATCTACTCTCTTTTGGGAAGGCTTAGGTTCTCGTTGTCACATTGCCTAGTGTGCTTGACCTGTTACACTAATTTATGCGAATCTTCAATTTTAAAATAAAAGTACATATTAATTTTTCTAATTGATGCGAATCTTCAATTTTAAGATAAAATACATATTAATTTTTCATACTTTGACCACCATAATTTAATTTAACTATAATTATACAAGAGATAACAGAAAAAAGTAATGGAAATAAAGTCAACTTTTTTGGTAAGATAAATAAGGGTTTAGGGGTTTGAACCTATTGAGTTATTATTAAAATTAATTAAAAAAAATATAGGAAGACAAGAACTAAGATGGAACCTTTTAAATTACTATTGGTTCTCGCACGAGTGAATAATCAAGGGTAATAACGTAATTATAAGTGAGAAATTGGAGTTTCTCCCTTTCGCATGTTGAAGCCGAGCCGATTGGGCCATTAAATAAATTGTAGATAATAAATAAAAATAAAAATGAAAAACGAAAAGAAAAAACAGATGCGTTTGGATCGGGAGCACCTGTCTCGATCGTCCGAAGAGAAGACGATTTAGGGGCACGATTCTATGATTGCAGAAGGATCAAAGATGCTTGGATTCTAACAGCTTGCTACCCGTACAAGATCTTCTCATTCTTCTCTTCTTTTCGAAAATCTCGCTTGAAATCAGCTCCGATTTGTCTTTATTTTTCAGCTCCTCATTTCCATTAAGCCACTTTTCCTGGTCCCGAGATGAGGGGCCGTGTTTTTCGCCGTCTATGGGTGTTTCTACTATTAATATCAAGATTTCGGAGCTTGACTGGCGAATCAAGAGCATATGAGAATTTGGAACTCTCGCAATTGGGCCCGTACAGGGAGAATTCTGAAGAATTAGCTCAAATTGGCGGCAAATCCCTTCTGCCCCTTTCTGTGTAAGTTGCTTTTCATTATGTAGTATTCTTCATTTCCTTATTAATATTCATGGAAGTTCATTAGATTTAGGACTCGGTTACGATTAATCGATTCTGGCTTGGAGTTTTGCATAATTACACTATTTGCATTTCCTTTTCCTGTTGCAGAAAAGGCAAAGGTAATACTGCTATTGTTGCTACTTCGGCTGGGGAGATCTATTTGGTAGATAGTAATTCTAAGAAGATAATTTGGTCATTTGCTTCTGGGACACCAGTCTACTCGTCATATCAGTCTCCTACCATACATGATTACAACAAAAAGTATGCTTCTGGTTCAAGCCGCAGCCCCTTCTTTTTTGATTGTGGAGATGACTGGGAGTTGTACATCCACACAGAACATGGTAGAACGGTATAATCTAGTGAATTAATTGCGTCCATCATATAAATGATTTGAAGATTTTTTTTGTTCTTTCGATTTCCATTGTTTTGTTAACCTTACTAGCCTAGTCGTGAAAGATTTCTGGGTTGTTTATATGTTTAAACTTGTATTGTTTTCCCATTATATGAAGTATTCTTTGGTCATTTGACACTGCAGAAACTACCCCGCACCATTGATGAGGTTGTTAGAAGTACACCATTCATATTTGAGGATGGTTCAGTGATGACTGGTTCTAGGAAAACCACTGTCTATGAGATTAATCCTGTTACAGGAAAGTTGATTCGTAATCACAGTTCTGATTTCTCATCATCTGGGCTAAGCAATGAAGAGCGCAGTGTTTTAAATGGTAATAGTTCCAAGAATAACCTGGACAATATAGATCTGATACAACCTGGTTTGATGAAACCTATTGAGCAACGACTGTACATAACAAGAACAGATTATTTCTTGAAATCATCTATCCCAGGGTCAGAAGAAGTTTCTTGGAGTTTGAATGTTGCTGACATTGGAGCTACCTTAGTCTGTCCAGATGTTGAGAATCCAACAAATAATGTTCCATCGGATCTTCAAAATAATGGTAATTTTGTTTCTGACTTCGATTTTACTCAGCCATTGTCTTGCCAATCAGAAGTACTTGTTTTTCGTGAACGGAACAATGTCTTGACCGAATCATCCGGGCATAAAATACTATCAGATTCTCATAATACAGATAATATGCTCTCGGTGTCTGCTTCAAGTCTAATGCTTCCTTCGCAGCCAAATGTTAAGCATTCAAATATTCATCCTGAAAGGTTGATGCTTCCTGGACCTGCTGCAAACCTAGCCTCCCTTCTGGAACCTAATGCAATTAGTCACCCAAACGATGATAGTCAGGCAATAGTTCCAATGCCTCTGATGAAGGTTAATGATTCAAGTATAGTTCTGGGACATAAAATAGGAACCCATGATGTTGACTTCATAGCTATGATTCTTAATGGGCCACTAGGATTTTTTATTGTAATATTTATAACCATGTTTTTGGGATTGATTAAACAAGGTGGGGCACTGGCTGCAAAGGCAAAACAATTTTTCTTGAAGGAGAAACCACCCAGTACTGTTAATTCAAAAATTGTATCTTCCAAGAAAAAGAAATCTCGGAAGACGAGTAGAAATGGAAATTTTGAGAAAAAGGATGCATCTTTTTCATCTGAAAATGAAGATATGGTTCGAAGTGAGAGTGATTTTAACAACTGGTTTCACACTAATAATTTTACTGATACAACTGGTGGTGGACGCCAAATTGGTAAACTAATGGTAACCAATACAGAGATAGCCAAGGGTAGCGACGGCACAATTGTTCTTGAGGGGGTCTATGAAGGTCGACTAGTTGCTGTGAAACGTCTTGTTAAGACTCACCACAATGTTGCCTTTAAAGAAGTTCAAAATCTTATTGCTTCGGATCGTCACCAAAATATTGTTCGATGGTATGGGGTGGAGTATGATCAAGACTTCGTATATCTTTCGCTGGAACGATGTACCTGCAGTCTAGATGATTTGATTCAGATATGCTCTGATCCGTCCCTGAACTCTTTGCTTAGCCTGGATGAAGATGCTGGCCCTATCAGTGATTATAAATTGCGTTTGGAGTCTCTCAAGAATGTAATATCAGATCTTAATCTGTGGAAAGAAAATAGCCGTCCATCACTACTTCTTCTAAGACTCATGAGGTATATACTTTATCAATCACAGGTTTTATTCAATAAATTAAAGTTGTCTAGTTATATGGAACTAGTCCTTGTGGCAATTTATGCGGTGTATTGTTTCCTTATTGTCTTGCATATAATATTTTTATGTAACAGAGTAAATTTAATTCATGCTTTTGGTAGGGCCATATACTTGTTATGTTGAAATCAAGTCTCATTCATCCAAGTGCGTGAGTTTCATATTTGGTTGATCTATCCAAGATCACTTGTTACATTCTTTGGTACCTGCATAATTGAGTCTTTATATCAAATAATAATCACTCTGCTGCTATTTCACGTAGTTGCGTGAAAATTTATGTTCAAGAACAAAATTTGATCCCTTGACCTTCATGTACCTTATTACAAGTTTAGATATTTAACCATAATATATGAATTTTCATTTCATTGGATAAGTTTCATGTCAGTTTTTTTTTATTTTATTTTATGCTTTGTATAATGTAGGGATATGGTTGCCGGGCTTGAGCATTTGCATGAGTTGGGGATTATTCACAGAGACTTAAAGCCCCAAAACGTGTTGATAACCAAGCAAAAATCTGTATGTGCAAAGCTCTCTGACATGGGTATTAGTAAGCGCCTTCTAAAAGATATGTCTTCCTTGGGACATCATGCTACCGGTAATATTCTTAAATTACTGTAAACTTATGGTCTGATTTATCAACACATTATTATAACTTATAAATTAAAAATTTTACCAAGAAAATCTTGTTCATCTAGTTTTAAAAACTAGTATTGAGTGTGATCTTTATTATTATTACATTTTTTAGTACAAACAATCTTTAAATGTGAAATTTTATATAGTAAATTATTAAGTTGTATGCTCTAATTTTTTAAACTTATTTTTAATAATAATTTAAATGGATTGAATGATTTCTTATGTATAGCATGAATTTTATGTTTCAGAATTCAACAAACAATGTGCATGAGGAATGATTACGTTTGGAAACTTTGCAGGTTGTGGGAGTTCTGGTTGGCAAGCCCCTGAACAACTTCTTCATGGACGGCAAACACGTGCAGTCGATTTGTTTAGCTTGGGTTGTGTTCTCTTTTTCTGCCTCACTGGTGGTAGACATCCATTTGGTGATCGTTTTGAGCGTGATGTCAATATTGTGAAGAATCAGATGGATCTGTTCTTGGTGGAGTGCATCCCGGAAGCTGTGGATCTTATTTCTCGATTATTAAATCCTAATCCTGATTTGAGGTAAGAAATGACTGTTTGAAATCCTCAAACTTTAGTTTTCATCCACACATACCAAAGCCCAACAATATAAGGCTCTTTGTTGTTGATTTCTACATTTTTCTGACTGATAATATGTTATTTTTTGTACTTTTGAATGAGTTCAGTTTTTTGGAATAAGATTTGTTGTTTTTGCACTATAGAAGATTTATATATTATTTAAGTAAATATATATTTTGATTACTTACTATTTGACTGTCATCAGGCCAAGAGCATCAGAGGTATTGCAACATCCTTTGTTTTGGAGTTCTGAGGCTCGACTTTCGTTTCTACGTGATACTAGTGATCGAGTGGAATTGGAAGATAGAGAGACTCACTCTGATCTCTTGGAAGCATTAGAGAGTACTGCACCATTAGCTTTAGGTGCTAAATGGGATGAAAAGTTGGATCCAGCTTTCATCACAAATATTGGTCAGTATAGACGATACAAGTATGATAGTGTTCGAGACTTGTTGCGGGTCATGCGGAACAAGTTAAATCATTACAGAGAACTACCCAAAGAAATTCAGGTTTCCCTCTATTTACATGCCTGCTCCTTTCCTCCTTTTTCCTCTCTCTTTTTTGGTGTGAGAGATTGGGTCTGTGGGGCCTTTAGTTGGTAAAACTGTGTGATTATCTTTTGTTTAAATTGATTGCAACTCTTAGTTTCAACTTTAATAATCGTGTATCCTGAATCAAAATTTCTTGGAAGACACATGTAATCATCTTATGAAATAGTATATGGTTGTCTCTACTATCTTATGGGAAACCCCAACTACCATGCTCTACCCAAACCTTCTCCTTTCGTTCTCGAACTCGAACTACCTCATCAACCTTGTACTCTTGCCAATATAACCACCTTTCCCTCACCCTAGCTGGTGATTGTCCTTCCGCCTTCGGCCCTGCTCCCTTTATCACACAATCTTGCCAACTCTCTGGGCATGGTAAATGCAATAGTGAACATAAATACTTTAGATTTTGCTGGAGGCCGCACCAGAATCAGACTTACAGAGAGAAACAACTCTTCCTTGATATTCTTCCAGTGCTTTCTAGTCTGGGTACTTGATAATATCCCAATTGACTTTGCTCATCACCCCCCTCGACCATCAATTTCTTCAGAATAATCAGACAATTTATGCTTTCTTTGGGCTCCAAAAGTTAATACCAAGCCCGGCTTCGTTGTCGAAACAGCAGAGATTTTCAGCAATAGAAAACAGAGCAACCTAATCTTACAGTAAAGTGGTAGTTAGTTAACCTTCCAATATTCCCAAATCCAAGTTTGGCTGTCAAAGTGTACTATTGTAGTGATACGACAATAGTTTCATGGGGGATTGCAGTAAGATCATAAATGGTGTCAGAGAATCAACCTGTCCATGTTCATCAGTGTGCTATCTCCTTAGAAAGAACTTATCACTGCGAAACACCAACCTTGATTTTTTGTCATTTTGTTGTGTTTGCTGTATATTCCAGGAGCTCATAGGATCCGTTCCCGAGGGATTTGATAACTACTTTGCTAGTCGTTTCCCAAGGCTCCTGACTGAAGTATACAGAGTCATAAGCCAATATTGCAGGGAAGAGGAAGGCTTTCGGAAGTACTTCAAGAGCCATGTGGAGTAGACTTTGGATACTAATTTCACAGATAAGTGATGCTATATTTATTCCTTTGACATATTCAGAACACACTGTTACTGTATGTATACTGTACACAATTGTAAATACACGTAAGGCCTCACAACATCCAAAAATCAATAACCTTACAGAACACCACAGCTTTTGGCCCTCAAAAGTTCATGTTATGTTGTGAAATTCACCATGAATGATTAATCTTCTTCTTCCTTTGGGTTTGTTTGTTTGTTGGATCCCTAATTTGGCTGGCCTGTATGCATGGGAAGAACATTACCTTGTAGCTTGAAATATGTGCCTGGTAGAGGCGACTGGATGCTGACAGCGCCCAATTGGAGCATCCCAAAAAGGAAAAATGAAGCAGCTTTGATGACCCTTTCAGCCTTCCATTCTACGGTTTAGGGTGAACTCATATTTGTTTCAATTGACGATTCATTGTATATAAGCAATAGCATGCGGCCTTCCAACATTGATTTCTTCTAGTCCTCTTTCCAATTCTAGAAGTAGAATATATGCTTTTAATCCTCTCGAATATTCATATGAGAGTTTCTATTTCATTGAACATTTACAAGAATTTGTCAAAATATGCGTGCCCCCATCGTTAATTTTGCTTTCGTTACTAGTTCAAATCCTTACCACACATTTGTTTCGGACTAGTTACTTAGTATTACCATAAAAAAAATTACAGGTTTAGTTCATAAACTTTCAGATTTGTGTCTAGTCCCGGAAACTTTATAAATGTATTTTCTTAGACATATTAAAATTATATCTAATATATCGCCCACTCTAAATTATCAAATAAATTATTAAAAAAAATTCAATAGATAAAAAATTGGTTTCTTCTAGACTAAGAATTGACTTAAGTGGACAAGTAGTTTGCATACTACTTGTAAGTTGAAAAGGCAAATCTCACATGGACCTTAATTACATAAGAAGTAGAGGTTGAATGGGCGTCTCCGGAATTGAACCGAGAAAATTATTATTATTATTATTATTATTATTATTATTATTATTATTATTATTATTATTATTATTATTAAGAAGAAAAATGGTGTGCGCTTTTAACTCTTTCTGCCCCAGAAATCATTTTCATTTTGATCTTTTAATTAATCTCTTATGTCACTCCACCTCTCCATTATTATTATTATTATTATTTATTTATTTATTATTATTATTATTATTATTATTTTTTTGCTTTTCCACAAAATACTAAAATAAAATTGTATAGAAACTAAAATAAAATGGATCAAAATGGCATTTTAATAGATTTTTTATAATTAATTTAGTGAAATAATAACAATATTTTTTATTCGAAAAAAATACACAATAGAATATATATTTTAAATATGTGACACAAGTGTGTGGACTCGTTCTAAAATTTATTGAAATTGAAATTAAGTGGACTATATTTAAATTTAGATATTATAAAAATTAAAATAAAAGAGTTTTAAAGTAAATTGATGAATGTGGTAATTTAGACCCCACTCATTTATTTCAAAAGGGTTTTTAAAGAAAAACACACAATAAATTAAAATAAAATGCTAGTTTATTTTTTTTTATTAGCAATTTTCTTTAAAATTTATCAATATATATTATATTTTCTATTTTTTGCTCATGTAAATTATTACTATTTGACCAATTTTCATAAATAAAAAAAAAAAAAAAAAACTTTGAAAACTACGTTTAAGATTTATTGAACTTTCATGAATACATTTAAAAATTATTGAAAAGTATGAACTAAATTCAAAATTTAAGAATGGAATAAAATATAATAAACAAATACTTACAAATTGTTATTTATAATAGTTATCATCTAACACCATTTTATTTTACCTTTGAAAAAGTCAACCTATGCATGCCTACATTAATCACATTATTCATGTAATTAAATAATTTATGAGGAGGGTCAAAATGGATAATTTTTAGAAAGATTATACCATGTAAAATTAATTTATATCACGTTTTTATACTAAAAAAGTTGAAAAAATAAAATAAAATACAGAAAAAGCCACGTGTTTGACTGAGAGTCAGCAGCCGGCGTTGACGTTTCTGTACGGAACGAGAAAGGCATCAGTATTCCTTCTTGGTCGGTGCCCTGTTTTTTTGTTTGCCACTAAATCCTTATTTTTACTCTAAATATTCGTATTATTTACCAAATAAAATATGCTCTCTCTATTTAATAATAAGCTATTCAGAGCATAATTTAAAAGTAATTGTTAATATTATTGTCAAATAAACTAAAAAAACCTAAGACATATTATTTATAATAGCTCAAATTATTTTAATAATTATATTTAGTAAAACATACATTAAATAACAATAATTAATTATTTATATTTAATTTTTAACTAATTATAAATATTATTTATTTATATGAAACTTTCATAATATTCGCCTAAAAATCATTTTATTTCTATTTTTTTTTTTTTTTTTTTTTTTTT